TGTGTGATATCATCTAATTTTATAGTTTTAAATATAATTAATGGGCTGATCATGCCGAAACGTAGAACTCCAACCTTTTATAGCTACCTGTCTACTTCACATCATCCCTTTAATGTCTAATAGTCATCTCAAATTTAACAGAATGTTCCTAACAGATTTTTTTAGTTTTCTTCCAAAACCTGTATTATCCCTAGTCTTCTCCACCTTTAAGATTAAAATCAGGGATACATCCTCCCCTTAAGGGTTGTTCAACAGAAGTGATATAATTGAAAGTCAAGACACAAACATTATGGCTAAATCACCTGTACAAAATGAGGATGCTGCCATGTTTTAGAAGCATTATTTTGCCTTTTTCCTGGGGATGTGGGGATGGAGATGTTAAATATGTTTCTTGTCCCTGACTCATGCCTGATTTTTAAAAAATGTATCTCTATTATTATTGAAAGTATTACAGATGTCCCCCCTTTTTCCCCATAGATCTGCTCTAGCCCACACCTACCCCCCTCATACCTGATTTTTTCTGGAACTTCTAGCTACAGACTTCTTTGCTTATTTACAGGTACAAATAATTGGTGCAATAAGTATTGAATTAAGTGAAGGTCATTTTCCCAACAGCATCCTTCTGTAGGCACAAGCTTTGGGCTTGCCCGAGGTCCACTGTTTTTCTAACTATTACATTTCCCTTCCCATTTAGGAGGTATTAGCAGTGCTATCTCTAAAATAGATTTTGCATCCATCTGCTCTGTATTTTCCTCTAATTCCTCCCTAGTCTAAGCCTCAAGAATCTCTCATTTGGATCTTTTCAGTAGCCTCTTGACTGGCCCACCCTGCTTGAACTTGGTATTCTTACAATCCCTTCCCCATACAGTAACCAAAGTGATATTTTAAAAATGCAAATCAGATCATGTCACTCCTCTGCTTAAAACCTTTCTATAGCTTCAAATAAAACTAAGATGTCTTAATTACTTACACGTTCTTAAGGACTTACTAGTATATGCTCTGATCTCTCTCAACATCTAAAATTTTCTCCTAGTTGCTTGCCATCCTCCTCATTACTTTCCAGCCTCATTGGGCCTTCATTATATTGCTTGAACAGAACGATCTCATTCCTGTCTCAAAGTCATGGTTTAAATTTAACTGAGATATAAATGCCACAGACTAGGAGTGCTCATTATGTTACCTGTTCAAGCCCAGAACATGGTATCAAATCCTTCTTTACTCTCTGCTGCCATCGTGGGGTCACTTAAAGAATCATTGGCTTTTCTATAAATTTATCAGCTCTGGACTTTTAAGAATTTTGCATAAAAGAATAATTCCACAGGTGTTCATTATATTATTTATGCTTTATAAATTACATACAACTCTGTCATTTTGATGTATCACATATATAAAAACATAATAGAGACAATAAAATATAAAAATTAAAACAATAGTCCATAGTATATGATCACAAATATGTTAAAACTACAAGTATTTTTAGATGCAAAGAAAGAAGTCTGGAAAAAAATATTAGAATGTTAACAGTGCTTATTTCTGGGTTATGGAGTTTGGATATTTTTTTATTTTTGTATAATTGTATGTTTTTGGCAATAAATATGCAGTGCTTTATTTTAAAAAAGAAAAGAAAAAGAATCCTGAAACTAAAATGGATTATCCACTGGTCCTCAGGAAAGAGGATTCTAAACCAGTATTCTCTAAGTGAGTTACTGAAATATGGAAAAAAGTGTTAGAAATATTGTCTGTAATGACTGATGCCATTATTCATTTAAAATTGTTATTTTTGTGTATATGTAATGATGTAACACATTAGTATATATATTACTACATGCATATAATTATAAATACCTAGGCATACATGTTGTGTATGTCCCAAACTTTTTTTTTAAAGCCTTACCTGAGGATATTTTTTGTGTGGAGTTGTGAATACTAAGATTGGACACATTTTGGAGAGGAAATGAAGGTGGAAGAGGTGCCATAAAAATGTTCTTCTCCCACCCCTGCGGATTCCATGTCACTTACTGTGGGGACAGAGGAAGGAAGGAAGGAAGGAAGGAAGGAAGGAAGGAAGGAAGGAAGGGAAGAAGATTGGTTGCCTCCTGCACACACCCGGCCGACTTGGGCTGGGAATCGGACTTGAAACCCAGGTATCCTTGATGGGGAATCAAATCCTTTGATGCTCTGGCTGACACTCTAACCACCGGCCTGGGCTCAAATATTTAAAAAAAATTTTAATATATATTTTTATTGATTCCAGAGCGGTAGGGAGGTGGAAAGAGAGATAGAAACTCAATGATGAGAGAGAATCATTGGCTGCCTCTTTCACACCCCCTACTGGGGATCAAGCCCACAACCCGGCATATGCCCTTGACCAGATTTGAATCCGGGACCCTTCAGCCTGCAGGCCAATACTCTATCCACTGAGCCAAACCAGCCGGTTGCCTCCTGCACACCCCCTACTGCGGACTGAGTCTGCAATCTTAGCAGGTGCCCTGACCAGGAATTGAACCAGGAATTGATGCTCAACCACTGAGCCAAACTGGCCAAGCTCAAATATTTTTTATGAGTTGACCAATCAAAAAAAAAATCAGAGACCACTGAATTAAATAATGCTAATAAAATTAAAACATGTCATGTCTTTTCCCATTAAGGGTTTCATTATTTTCCATGAGTAATAAGTGATACTGAGACACGAAGATGTCAGAAAGCAAAAGGGGTAAACATATGAGAAATAAAAACTAGATCTTCTATTAATTAAGCCATATTGACTCTGCTAGAGGCATTATTTTTCCAATTATGCACTTAGTATAAATTGTGTACCTAGGCCTAACTGGTTTGGCTCAGTGGATAGAGCGTCAGCCTGTGGACTCAAGGGTCCCAGGTTCGATTCCAGTCAAGGGCATGTACCTTGGTTGCAGGCACATCCCCAGTGGGGAGTGTGCAGGAGGCAGCTGATGGATGTTTTCTCTCTCGTCGAGGTTTCTGGCTCTCTATCCCTCTCCCTTCCTCTCTGTAAAAAACCAATAAAATATATTTTTAAAAAATTGCGCAGTAGTCAATTTCTTGTAGTTTTTTACCTTGTCTGAGCCCCAAGAAATAGGCACATTAAAGATTAAACTGGCATACTTTCTTTTGAGGATATGGAAATAGCCCTCATCAATAAATCGGTACCTAAGCAGGGAAATCCTAAGGCTTTTATGAGTTAAGCCATGGTTTTACTTAGCATTGACATTCAAGTTAAGGGCTAAGACCCTCCTGAGTTTTGTTTTTAACAACAATTCTTTGTGATCCTGATTGCTGCTTCTTTGTGATACTGGTCATCTCAACAATGATGTATCATTCCCTTGATTACTTGTAACCCTTTGTTTATTTACCATGCGGTTTCTAAGGATGTGAGCTGTATAGTACTCTACCTGAAAGGTTGTCATCCTTAAGGCAGGTTCCATCTCATATAAGTTTATATCCACAATGGCGCCTGGTGCAATGCCTTACATACTGATACTGTAGTAGTAAGAGGATAGCATTGCCTAGAGCAGGGTTCTCCACTGGTAACATTTTGGGGAGATGATTCTTTGTTGTGAGGGGCTATCCTGTACATTGTAGAGTGTTTAGCAGCATTCTGGCCTCTACCTAGTGGATACCAGTGCACTCTCTCCCTAGTTATGACAACCAGCAATTTCTCCAGATATTGCCAAAAGTCCTGGGTGGGGTGTGTATGTGCAAAATCAATGCTGGTTGAGAACCGCTGTTCTAGAGATAGGGAAGTTTAGGTTCTAGTCCTGACTTTGCCATTCTCTTTCCATGATTAAGCAAACTGCTTTACCCATAGGGCTTACATTCCTCTCTTGGAAAATGAGGATTAGAATTTATTGGACACTAAGGAACCTTTAATTAATGTGAATTTTGTATGTAAATATTTCTGGGAATAGCTTCTTTAGCTTTAAGCATTTTCTCCAACTTATCTATTACCTCAAAAATATTAAAACTATACACCTGAGCCCTGGCTAGTATAGCTTAGTTGTTTGGGCATTATTCTGTGCACCAAAAGATTGCTGGTTCAATTCCTGGTCAGGGCACATGCACAGGTTGTGGGCTTGATCCCTGGTAAGGGGCTTGCAGGAGGCAGCCAATTGATGTTTCACTCTCACATCCATGTTTCTCTCTCTCTCTCTTTCTCTTTCTCTCTCTCCCTCCCCCGCTCCCTCTCTCCCTCTTCCTTCCTCTCTCTCTAAAAATAAATAAAACATCTTAAAACAACTACACACCTGCAAGCAATACAGAATAATATTGTACATAAACTGTAATTGAAAAATAAAATTAAAAAACAAAGCAAAAACAAAAAAGATTAAAACTAGATCAGTTAATATATAGTTATTTCCATCTCTTAAGGTATAAGGATCCTAGCTTATGCCAGTATATATTTTCTTCTTTTATGACCAATATTTGTGACCATAAAACGTTGAGAAAGCATTCTGTGCTACCAGGATTTATTATAATGACAGGTACCACTTATTGTACTAGCATTGTATTTCCTACCTCTTTTTAAACATCGGATCTTGAAGCAGTGATGATAAGGTAAATGAGTCAAAGTCACTAGCATGTAACGTAAGAGAGTCTGGATAATAAAAAGAGTTATGTTTATCATCTGGCACTCTGCTCCTTAGCCTTTTTTTTCCCATTAGCCTTTTAAAACCAGTATGTTTCACATGACTCTGCCAGTGTGTGTCCCAGGGCGCCTCTGTGTCAGCTGGTCACTATTTATGGACTGCTCGTATTTCAGGCTCTGGAGTTTGGGCCTTCAGTATCCTTTGTTTAAGTTTCTGCTTTCCAAAGTTCATTGCATTTATTAGCATAAGCTGATTCTTAGATTTGAACCAAAATCTAGTCAATTGCTCCCTTTGGGAAGGTAAGGATGTTCCTCTTAGACTTTTGCCACAGTTTCATGTTGTACTTGGTACTGTGCTAGGGTATGAACTGTGGCCCTGTTTTTTCCTCTGTTGCAGGTGAACTTGGAAGGGAAAGCCAATCCTCTGTCACTTCTTCAAATGGCCTCCCCAAGTGGCTTCTGTGTCTTGGTTCGCTTGCCCAAGCTGATCTGTGGAGGAAAGACACTACCAAAAACATTATTGAACATGTTGGCAGATGGCACTATTTTAAAAGTTGGAGTAGGATGTTCAGAAGATGCCAGCAAGCTTCTGCAGGATTATGGCCTCTTTGTTAAGGGGTGCCTGGACCTCCGATACCTAGTCATGAGGCAGAGGTATGGTTTGTATGAATGCTGCTAGGATTCTTGTAGCTGTGGGGCAAATATTTTAGCAAGTTTATAGATTAATAAGACTCAATAATGAAGCATCTAAAATTCGTCACAAGCGTATAGGCTTCTGAGATGCATATTAAATTTGTAAGGAAATATTCCAACTTCTGAGAAAAGTTTAGTTACCCAGAATTGATCTTTTTATTTATTTTTATTTTTTATTTTTCTTAGAATTGGCCTTTTTATTTTTATCTTTTTAAAATATATTTTTATTGATTTCAGAGAGGAAGGGAGAGGAGAGAGAGACAGAAACATCAATGATGAGAGAGAATCATTGATTGGTTGCCTCCTGCAAGCCCACTACTGGGGATCGAGCCTGCAACCCAGGCATGTGCCCTTGACTGGAAACAAACCCAGGACCCTTTAGTCCACAGGCCGATGCTCTACCCACTGAGCCAAACTGGCTAGGGCAGAATTGGTCTTTTTAAATGAAACATTAATAAGATGTCTCTACCAGGTGTACTGGTTAATAATGCGAATTTTTTTCAATAGATGGAGTTAGACATATGTTGATATATATGCGATTTGATATGTATGCTATTTTGTTGTATTGACAGCAAGCTTCAAAACTTCATATGTCAAATTTTCCGAGAGTGTTAACATCATACTTTTACGCTTAAAAATTGCCAGAAGCCGGTCACCCTTGCTGCTTGACACAGTCGCTGCAGGGAAGAAACATCTACACAGCTTATGTTTCAAGGGACCTGGTATATGTGGCATATGTTTGCTCCCCCTCTTAGCGCTATGTGTTTTAAACAGGACCACCTCCCTGAGAAAGGTTGTTTCCCCAGGTTAGGGATTAATAGGACTAAGGAAGAGAATAAATCAGTAAATCCCCGTAGTGTTACAGAAATACCATGTACTACTTATGAAGAACTTGGACTAAGACTGTTTGCAATAGATTTGGGACTTGTTGGGCCCACATCCCCAGGGGTCTGCCCACCAGGGAAAGCACCAAAGCCTATACCCCTGGAGATCCACCAACAAAGGGCAGTCCCAGGAAAGGCAAGCAGCGAGGCTGGGAGGACATAACCTTTACTGGGTAGGATAATCTCCTTCAGTCACTTCCTTGTAGCCTATCAGTAGAGCAGTGACCTTGGAATAGCCCATGTAATAGAACACAGAGACTAACCTAGACAAGATTAAAATCAACAGAACTAGATAGAGACAGGATTTTTGGCAAAGGTCAGATAAGAAATAAGGAACTGTAGAACGTTACCCAAAACATACCATGATGTGATTATAGAGGCATGCTTATAGGATCAACTGGTATAAATACAGATGTAACAGGACAAGAAAGAGAGAACCCAACTATGCTGATCGACTGAACGCTGCCTCCATGTCCTTCATTCTTCGCCGACTCCGTCCACACCTTCAGGAACCCCTGGACCTGATAGGGCTGGACCCCAACAAAAAATGTTGAATTTCGTGCCAAAAAAAGAGCATTTGTGGGAAGCTTTAATTCATTACTTTATTTTGAAGAAAAGTGTTGCTGAATACTTCAGGAAGCTTATGGTGAACATGCTCCATCTCAGGATACTTGTGAACACTGGTTTAAACGCTTTAAAAGTGATGATTTTGATGTGAAAGACAAATAATGTCCTGGTCTAATCCAGGTCAATCATCAACATCAACTGCTAGGCCAAATTGCTTCAGAAAGAAGATAATGATCTGCTTTTGGTGGGATCAGGAAGGTGTGGTGTATTATGAGCTTCTAAAACTAGGTGAAACCATTAATACTGATTGATCCCGACAACACATAATCGATTTCAACCACGCTTTGATCATAAAATGACCAGAATGTGCCAGAAGACACGGCAAAGTAATTTTGCTTCATGATAATGCACCATCACACACTTCAATACCAGTTAAAGACACGTTAAAAGATCTTGCCTGAGAAGTATTAATCCACCTGCTATATTCACCAGACCTTGCTCCTTCAGATTACACACGCACTTTCTGAACAGCACTTCAAAACGTATGAAGAAGTGGAAAATTGGGTCTTTGAATGGTTTGCCTCAAAACAAGAAAAGTTCTATTGGGATGGTATCCACAAATTACCTGAAAGATGGGGGAAATGTGTAGCTCGTGATGGCTATTACTTTGAATATAGCACTTTTGATGTTTCTTTTGAAAAAATTAGGTGATTTGAATATACTTGGAGTTACAAAATCCGCATTATTAACCGGTACACCTGGCCTAAGCTACAAGATGTAAACTAATGGCCCCACTGGATAAATGAGGGCCGCAGATTCCTGTTTTGTTTTCCCCCATATGGTATTTTTAGGAAATTTTAGTTTAAATGCAGAAGATGTGTATTTCTGATTTCTCTTGAAAAAATTAGGTGATTTGAATATACTAGGTCAATAGTTCTAGGTGGCAACAATTGGCTGGGTGACCCTGTCCACTTTTGATGAACAAGCTCTATTCAATTTGCCGGAGTCCCCACCTCTCCCATTGTAACTGGGGGTCATCCTGAAGCATGAGTTTGGAAAACCTGCTGTAGGCCAAAATGATGGTAGCTCTAATCCTTTACTTGGAAGAAGAGAGATATCCCTTTCTCCAAGAAGTCTACTTTTACAGAAATTGAGTTGCAGTAACCTTTTCATGTATGTATATACAGGTCCTCCTTTTAATAATATGGACTGAAACAGCCTCTCTCCCTGCCTCAAATGAAACTGACATTAAAGTTTGGAGGCCCTAGCTGGTTTGGCTCAGTGGATAGAGCGTCGGCCTGCAGACTGAAGGGTCCCGGGTTCAATTCCAGTCAAGGACACAAAAGATTCAATTCTGGTTGCGGGCTTGATCCCCAGTGGGGGGCATGCAGGAGGCAGCCTATCTGTGATTCTCTCTCATCATTGATATTTCTATTTTTCTCTTTCGCTTCCTTCCTCCCTAAAATCAATAAAAATAGCCCTAACCGGTTTGGCTCAGTGGATGGAGCGTCGGCCTTCAGACTGAAGGGTCCCAGGTTCAATTCTGGTCAAGGGCATGTACCTTGGTTGTGGGCACATCCCCAGTGGGTGTTGTGCAGGAGGCAGCTGATTGATGTTTCTTTCTCATCAATGTTTCTAACTCTCTATTCCTCTCCCTTCTTCTCTGTAAAAAATCAATAAAATATATTTTAAAAAAAGAACATCAGTAAAAATAGATTAAAAAAAAAGTTTGGAGGATTTAATCAACTAAGAGAAGGCCTGATTAAAATCTATGCTAATCATAATATTTTATTAGAAAACTAGAGGCCTGATGCACAAAATTCGTGCAAGGGGCTCGGCCCTCGCATCCTGGGTCGGCCCTTGCAGCTGCTCACAGCCTCGGCCAGCCCTCGCAGCCCCAGCCGGCCCTCGCAGCCTGGGCTTCTTTCAGAAGGTCATCTGGACAGTCATTCAGCTATTCAGTCTAATTAGCATATTAGCTCTTTATTATATAGGATGAAATGTTATTTTAGCTCTGTAGTTTGGCTTATGTAAATAAAACTCATAAATATATATCAATTTTTTCAAGTACTATATTAAAATATTTACTATAAAAAATATTGAGTTCTGTGAAAGTATTTGGAATATAATTGCAGAAGCCTCCTTTCATCGGGCCCTCCTCCCTTTGGCACCACCTCAGGATGTGCCCACTGTTGCTCTGTAGTTGGAGGCAATGTGTACAGTGGCTAAGCAGAGCAGCGTGTGTGGGTGGGAGCCCCCACTCTGCCATTTCCCAGCTGTTTGGCCTTTGGCAAGTTAGTGAACCTCACTGTTCATTCCTCTGTCCCCTCATCTGTGAAGTAGAGATAATAATGTTCCCACCTTAAAGAACTGATGTATTGAATGAATTAAACTATGGGAAGAACTTAGAAATAGTATTTGAAATACAGAGAATGCTGTGTAAATTTTAACTATTACTGTCACTGTCATCACCAGTTTCCATGCTATCATCATCTGATTGGTTTGTTTTTCCAGATCTCTTTCTATGCAATTACAGTCCTCATTATGAATATATAGAAACTAGCAGTGCTCTGAATTGTTTGGCTAAATGCAGAATGGCCAAGTGTCAGAATAAGAATTTGGCCAAAGCTGCATATGACCAGGAACTTTTCTATAAATAAAAATGAAGCATTTATCAGACCTTTAAATTTTAATGAAATTTTATTAAAATGTAAAGATTATTGTATTATTAAGCACTTTAGTGGTAAACAATAAAACTTTCTGACACTGTAGTATAAGAAATCTGACATTCTAATGCAAGAATTATACTTAGCACTGTTGGCTATAGGTTGCTCCTGATTTTTTCCATAAGTAGTTGTTACTTGACTTCAGGGAGGAGTATTTTTTAAAAATTATTCTTTTCTTCATACTCTTCATATTTTATATTTTTTATTCTATGTTAACTAAAGATTATTTATTATGGAGATTGTTGTGCATGATTTTGGAATCTTTCCTAGTGAAACTTTGAAGTGGCAAAGGTGGCATCTTGTTTTTAATTCAATGTGAAACCTTCCCAAATATGAAATTCGTATTTATTTTTATAGATTTTAGAGAGAGGAAGGGGTGGAGAGAGAAAAAAATATTGATGTGAGAGAAAAATCAATCAGTTGCCTCCTGCATGAGCCCAACCAGGGATCAAAGGACCTTTTGGTATATGGATGACACTCCAACGAACTGAGCACACCAACCCAGGCACCAAATATGACATTTTAAAAAGGCTAATGACCTAAATGGAATTAAGTAACTAAAAATTAAGTACTGTCCTTTCAATGAGGGAAATGATTTTAAGAATTATGGGCAAAGGAGCCCAGGAGTGCAGCAAAGAGAAAACAGTTGGGGCTAGGTAGGATCACTGTGCCTGGATGAGGAAACAGTGACCCAGCCTGTAAGCCGAAGCTTTATTTTATAGTCAGATCACACAAAGCAAAACAAGGGGAATGGTCAACATGTTTACAATATTCTTGCAAGTTT